TATGCCCTAATAGCGTTGAGGATTTCATATGCCCTAACGGTATTATACATTCTATGCAATGTTTCTGCAATTTATACACTTTTGCATGTGTTTTTACAGCGTAAAGACTTTTCCATGCTCGTATATGCTTGTCCCTTATTTTCCTACTTGTATTTATTTCTGTTTGTCTCGTTTTGCTCTAACGGTGCTGTACGGCTTCTGGGTATGTTCTGTGCTTATGTGAGTGTACATGTATCCTACTGAGTTCATACCGATTCGATCTTGCTGATTTGTATAAGTTGGGTGCGGGTTGTAATCTCATACTTACGCTTTTATACCGGTTGGGTTCTGAGGCTTTGTACATAGTTTCTTATATTTATACTTTTATACAGTTTAGGTTCTGACGCTTTGTACATAGTTTCTTATATTTATGCTTTCATGCAGGTTTGTACATAGTTTCTTGTATTCATGCTTTTATACAGGTTTGCACATAATTTCTTATATTTGTGCTTTCATGCCGGTTAGGTTCTAAGGCTTTATACATAGTTTCTTATATTTATATTTTTATACAGGTTTGTACATAGTTCCTTGTATTTATGTTTTTATACAGGTTTGTGCATAGTTTCATATATCTATGCTGGAGGAGGTTGTTCATGTTTACTTACTTCGATCAGACGTTCACGGACAGCTCGGATTGACAGGTGGTCCCCTGTGGGTAGCTATTTCAGGCGGACGGACTTGGATTCCGTAAGCAAGCAAAATCGCTTTCTTACATAGCATATAAATAAATTTAGATAAAATTGATAAAACAAAAGACCATGAGCAATAGGAGTTGTTTCTACTTTTGTGTTTTTTCTTTGTTTTCAAATAAACGTTTAATAAATATTTGTAAGAGAAAAAAGGTTTATGAAAAAGAAAGAAAAGGCGAAAGTTATGTGAAAAAAACGTACAATAACTTTTAACTTTGAAATTAAATTAGTTCTGAAAATAAAGCACAAAATCAAAAATTATTATGTAATTTTGATGATAGCTTACCATCATTTTACAGATTCGTATAATTGTTTCTCTGGAATCCCCATTTTTATCATTCACTGAATGCTAACAAAGAGAATAAGTAGAACTTGCGTTTGTTGTTATTACTACTTTGAGAAAAAAAATTATCTGATATTAAATGAACCCTTTTTCCTGTTTTTATACTCTCTCCTATTTGTGGTACAAAGGCATATTCGGTTTTTGTGGACGAATGCAACATCCAGAGCGACTTCAAATAGACCCACCTTTTATTACATTTGATCGATTCAAAAAATGATTTTGATTTTAAGCCCGTCTGATTTCTTATTTTCAACTTACAGATTGTAATTTTTGAGACGTTTCGTTGAAATGCAGTATAACGATATGTTTTGGCCCAAGCAAGAAAGCCATTAAAAATGCTTCGGATCGCACCAATTTTTCCACCACTATCAATATGACATCTTATTTTGAAAAGTCGTTGTATGAATAACTGTATTAAGCAAAGTAGTCTAGGGTATTAATGGTGGATCATGCCCCACTATAGCGTTTTTACTTGTTAACATTGTTTGCTATAAATTCGCTTGTCTTGCACTGCTTCAGAAAAATGTATATATGTACATAACACACGCACATACGCAATGCCCGCACAAGTACGGACAAATAGGCTCTTTTCAGTTAATCGTTTATTTGTATATAATTATTCGTTTCGTCATTTATATCAGTTTGCACTTAAATATTCTAAATTTTATATTTGTCTGATCTTTCAATATGTATTTTAATCTGAAATGTATACGTTCCCCATAGGCTTTTTTTTAATAATTTTTATTATTTCTTTATAGATTTCCGGGGTTTCTTATGTAGCAAAAACTATATTCAAGAAATAACTTATATACATTCTACATGGTATATCGGCATATCTGTATCATATATACATATATATATATTTATATATACATGGATCTCGTATTCGGTCAACAGGTTAACACCCTAAGACTAAAAATAGAGAGAAGTGAAAACAACTTTCGTACATATGTATATATAATTTCTAATCGAATTGTTAAAAAGTGTTTTGAATAAATTATATTACGATTTGTGTTATTTGACTTCCAAAATAGATTATTTAATATTAAAAGGGGAAAAATACAAATCCTTGCAAAAACTTATTAATATTTATTATTGGAGAACTATGTTTCGGATACAGGCGTACCACCAAATAAATTTACGAGTATTATAACATGGTCGTTATATGGAAAAAAATTGCAATTTTTCAAATATCTCGGCAAAAGTAGCTAGGTATTTCGGCATTCTGAATTGATATGAAAACTTTGGCCGGGGCAATTTTTTAACCCCTCTCATATAACGAAAACTGAAGCTCATACGACAAAAAGGTATAAATGGCCCAAACCGGTCAAAGTACATGTCCACAGTACCAAATCAACTGAGAAAACCTCTGTTTTTCAAAAGGAATAAAAAAATTGGTTTTTTGCTCGTTACTCATAAACTATAGTAGATGAATGTATAAATAATTGAAGGCATATTCTATAGGCGATGTACCTGTACAAAAATGAAAAAATTTACCACACCTACCAAATATTATAGCGTATCAAAATTAAAATTTTTTTCAATTCAGAAACAAGGTTGAAAAACACCATGAAGTATAGCATAAAGTATTTCCGGCCACTTTCGAATTTGAATTGCGTCTAACCGCGTCTGCGTGCAAGTTTGCCCGTCTGTCTGTCTGCACAACTGTGTGTAGTAATCGTAGAAAACATTCTCCCGTCAGCGAAAATTAAGATGTCATCTACAAATTTGCAAAAGAATTTTACAGTGAATTAAACTTTTCCAAGAACAGAGCTACAACGCCCATTCAACTTTTATTTTGCAAATAGAACAAATCAGCCGAGCCCAATTCATATTATAAAACGTGAGAATTTAGTTCTTTTATTTTTTTTTATAATTTTCGTGATAACGGTGATGGGTGCAAAAGATTCAGTTACGACCGAATATAATTTTCTTACTCGTTATTATCACTAAGGTTAAAAGGTTTAGCATAAAATTAAAAAAAAAGGGTAAATATTTACATGTATGTACATAGTATAACTAGAGAAGTTGAAGTGAAAATTAAATGTGATCTAGGTGTCAAGGATCTCGTATACTCGAAGAGAAACGCGAATTCCAGGAATTATATCTCTTCTTGAACAGTCATCGGATTTGTTTGTTTTCGGTGGACGACATTCAGATAAAATACGGCTGAATATTGAATAAAGTCTTATTTCGTACTCTACGGCAAGTTAAGAGAAAGCATTTAGCTCGGATAAAGAGGTTATTGTAGTTTACTTTGTTAACTGGAGGGTTGACTGATTGCAGGAACATTTGGGAATGACTTTATTGATCGAGATTAATAGCGCCTTTAGTGGACCTACACGCTGAAGCAATTGTCTGAGAGAGACAAGGCAGTTGAGATTCGTGAGACTGGTAGAAGGCATTTTTAGAAATCTTATTGGCCCGCTCGTCTCCGTCAATCCCGATATGAGAGAGAATCCAAAGAATCTCAACGTTAGCTTGGCATTCTGGGGATAATACGTGATTAAAATTACCCTTATCATTGAATCGTGTTGTTCTGTTCCTTACCTGAGGTCCAGAAGCTTTTAAAAAATGCAGGGATATATCACTACGTTTATTAATTATAATTGAATAGATTTAAGGATAAAAGAGGATCTGGCAAAAGTTTCCACAAGTTTTACTAAGAAATTGTTAAGCGCAGTCATAAAAATTGATAGTAAATATATTATTATTATTGTTATTATTATTATTAATTTCGCCAGAGAAATAAATTCTAAGACTAAACTCTTAGAAGCACTAGCATCTAAGGCTATCGGCTTTTATTAAAAACTCTACCGCACTTGAGATTCGAACCCACGACCATTGACTTGCTAGTCGAGACTCTTGCCTACTCGGCCACTCAGGCGGCAAAAGTTTCCACAAGTTTTACTAAGAAATTGTTAAGCGCAGTCATAAAAATTGATAGTAAATATAAATTAAATTACATATATTAAATACTTGGAAAGGAAAAACTGCTGTTTATTAAAAGTTCAAATATTCGAATATTGAATTTGTTAGCGAAAGAAATTTGAAAAGAAAGGAAAATTTCTTCAATTTGTTTGCTTTTTGATATTATGTGCATAAGATCCTTTTTACATAGACGGACAGACAGAGACCTAATTTAGAAATTACAAATAAATTTTTTTGAAAGTTTTACAATATATATATATATATATACAATATATATATATATATATATATATATATGTATTTTGCCAAAAAAGCGAATGAGTTCGTTACACACAATAATGAAGACAGGAAAGAATCCATTTAACACCAGTCCATTATTGTACTATTGATTACTTTTTCTACGATTAATTGTTATTAGCTACATCTTTCTTATAATCTATATAACGAGACCGTCATCCAGACACGAACCAATCATTTATAACTTCAAAAAAAATTTCAAATGCATCAGTACAGTTGAGGAAAATACAAGTTCATTGTAACCATCGACAAACTTTGAATTTTTGTATTAAGAATTGTGAGAAAATATTTCTGAAAAATGATATCATGACAACTTATCCATGCGTCCGAGTCCAAATTACCTCATGCGTACGAGGTTATAGAGCAACAAGTTAATAGTATTATCCAGCTTATAACGCGGCTTCATAGGAACTTAAGCTAACTTACGTTCGATTACCTTAAGAAAAATTGAATTGGCCCGGTCAAGTTTAGCTGGCTCGTTTCGTAAAGTTTTTGCAATCAGCTGTGTGTCAAGGTGCAGATAAAGCATTACATACAAAAAATTCCAAAGATTATTCAGATCAAATTTATGAAATAACATAAAAATAATCTATAAAAATCCAATAGATTTTCAAAAATGCGGTTTTACTGGACCTCTTCTTTTACTATTATGCTAAACGAGAGTTACTGAAAATTTTTATTGCCTTATTAATATAGATATTGTCGAAAACGGCTTAAATAATGTATAAAAAAAAGTAAGAATATTATAATCGAGCAAGGCCGACTATACAATACCCTACACCATGGTCGTAGTTATTCACTCGCATTGGTGAGAATACACTAAAAATTGCACATTAGCTTTATACAAAGGCATAGCTTTCATGAAAGCTCGCATACTGGAAGGCGCCTAAGCCATCACATGACGCGATCAAAATTTGGCAACTTTAATTTTCTTCCAAAAATGTTATTATATTTGAGTTTTCGTCTTAGAGAGCTGCATATTAAATTTTTTCTCAATATGAGGGCTTGCTATTAACGATAGCGATCTACAAAATAGACCTATGTGGTTCACATTCCTTACCGCTAATTTTTTTGCCTAATCGTCACTACGGACTAATTTTCGTCAAAAAATATTAAAAATTAAACGTTACAGTTACTATTCATGAGAAATCTTTTAAGGAATGGGGATTATTTCCTGGCCAATTTACTATTACGAACCAATTCTCTCTATGAAATATTGAAAATTAGACCTTTTCACCATATAAAGATTCAGTTTTCGTAGAAACGATTATACGAGAGGGAGTTAAAGAGTTGCCCTAGCAGAAACCACTTTAGCATACCGAAATATTTGCTTTATAAATTACTTATATTTGTTTATAACTTACTTGCGGCCTTTTTAAAATGTTTTTGAAAATTGATATTTTTTCTTTACGACTTAGTTTCCTAGCTAAATCGCTATATAGGGAGTGGTCAAAAAAGTGGTCCGATCCGAACCATTTTCAATGGCACACATGCTTGGGTAAAAACAGAGCAGTGCACCCAATTTCATCGAAATACCTCCAAAATTGCTACCTGTGGATTGAACACAAAGATACTGGACAAAAACTAGGCGGACAGACAGGGCTAGATCGGTTCAAGAAATGATTCTGAATTGGTCGCCATAACAAAAGGGTGATTTATCTTAGTCTTTTTAGATGACACATACGTCCGCATCAACTTAATTTACCTTACACTATAAGTAGGGTAGGGTATAAAAATAGAGAAAACAACTTACATGTTTCCTTTCAGAAAGAAATATTACCGACCAAAAAAACAAAAATATATCATTATCTAATTAATTGTGAAAGTAGTTGCTGATGTAATGAACATAAGCCAGCGTCTTTATAATCATCTGTAACGGATGTTCAGGGCCGGCGTTATCAGCTTCATATAGCCAGAAATTTTGGTAAACAATAAGGTGACGCCATTCGGTATACAACGCAAAAGTCGATTGAAGTTGAAACACATTTTACTTCCCCTACACTTCCTTTAAAAGTAATTCATCTAACTATTGCTTGCCTTTAAGGAGTGAGAGAAAAGTAAATCACAATTTTGATGTTAATGGAAACATAGTCGATATCAGGAAAATCAAATTATCAGAAAAGTAAAAGAATGTCTTTTTATGTTCTCGAAATATTTCAAATGAGAATAAAATGTGTGTTTATGTTTGCAAAGCATTTATATGATTGAACATTTAATGCAAAATTTGATTCTACGCCTTTCGATTTTTAAAAATCAACGTAAAGAGCATTAGAAACTACTTTATTTGTAAGGACAATATTTATTTCACCTTCCGAGCTCGTATCAACTGCGTTTTAATTAAAGTATAACGTATAAAATGTATGTCTTTTCTCTTTGCTAGTTCTTATATTCAAAGCTTTGCATAAAATAATTATTTTTAAAAAATATTGTTATAAACTTAAAAACAGGAAAAAAGAAAACAACAAAAATATCTGAATTGAATTATAATATCTTTAAGTACATATTATGTCAGTTTTATAAAACTCAAATTACAATTGAATTGCCATTGTAACTAACTTTTAGTAAAACTTATTAGATGACATATTGAATTTAATATGTGATCGAAACAAATCTTTAACATGATTATCAAATGAAAAAAGACTTAAGCAATATTCTTAAAGGTTTGCAGCGAAGACTGTAAATGAAAGCGTCGATATGATATGAAATGTCGTTATATACTATTTTAAGCATAAAATCATTATTATAATATTAAATATTGTTAAATAACAAAATTTCAAAAAGAGGGTTTACTCATGCTACGAGCCGGTAGACTATTGGTTTTTGTGGTCGGATTGTCACGAGCCTGGGAATGAGCGACAACAATGCTAAGACATTGCACCCATTCTTCGGCATTTTTTCCATCTTTTGGTTTGAGTATTAATGTCTGATCGGCAGTGAAAATTTCAAAGGCTTTCGGTATATTTCGGGCACCTCGTGACACCTTAACTGAACGTATTTGATTAATGTCGATACTTTCGCCGCCACTCTGAATAAGAATAAGAGATTTTATTTGATTTAAATAAAGATATCTCATAATAATTTTACCGATCCTTTACAAGACAAATGTGCTCCTGATAAAGTGAAATAGCGTGTGCGCCAACGTCGAAATAAACGCCATTTGCCTTTTTTCTCCTTGAGTTGCCCCTCAATCATAGGCTGGTTGCTGCCATTTAAGAAACCTGCCGCTTTATCCGGATGATTGCACAGAAAGCAACCCCATTGATATTCTAATTCATTGCAATTTGGGTTTTTTTTATTAGTCTTGGAGACCTCAAAAACATCCAGAAATCCCGAATGCCTCAATTCATTAACCAATATCTCACGATCCTTTCCGAAAAAATCAAACTGTTAAAGCGAAAGTGTTTATCAATCCTTGACTTTTACTCACTTTCATATTTGGAAACTGACTCGTAACCAGCTCTGTAAAACTACGATTTTCACATTTAAGTATTTGCCAAATGTTTTTTAGATTGCTAATACCCGGTTCACGGGTACTCAATACACATTTCTCTTTAACCTTTAATTTTGTTTTTAGATTTCAAAAAGAAGAGTTATATATGTGAGCCATTCGTCCTTAGCGTTAATTTACTGAAAAACTTACATAATGTCTCACTTGAAAATCCAAAAACATTAAATGAATCCAGGTTTTGGGATTGCGGGTACGCATAGTAAAACATGTTTTCGAATATATGCAGTGAGGACCGCGTATCTGACATGCGAAATGCAGTTTAGCCACTTTCTTGGAACGTCGCTCTGCAAATTCATTGGAAACTTTGTGTGTTCAAACGAAATGAAATGCAAAGTTGACGGGTTGATGCACAGGAGGACAGAAAATAAAGTTGTTGATTTTAAAAATGATAGTACAACAGTTTTATTCATAGAAGTAACGGATAGTAGAGTGAAAATTATACAAGAATATTGTTTAAGAGTCGGTTACAATACGCCAATGAAGAAGTCGTAGGGATAGTAAAAGTGCAGCAACGCGAAGATGAAAGTGAACATAAAACAAACAAAAGAGAAATTTCCAAATTAAATACACACTTACACATGCAATATATCTTTAATATTTTAAATGTTTTTAGAAATTTAGACGAAAATCAGCTTGAACATTTGGGACAAAAATTTGTCGCGTCGGATCAATAAGTTTGAATTTAATGCATTGAAAGGTTCTTAAAGATCAATATAAGATTGGGAGAACGTTTTCTATCAAGCGTCATTCGCGCCTAGGCCTGAAGTCAGAAATGGTTTAATTTCGTTAAAATAATTTAGAAATTGTTTTTCGTAATTTAAAATATTCGATGGAAAGGTACGACCTTCTCTGTTAATATTAGCAATTCAAGATGTTCTCAAATAGTATATAACGCCGATCATGTGATTACAAAAAAAAATCTCCGTTATATACAAATCATTATCATTTCGTGTAAAGCTGAGCTAAAGTTCCTCTTAAAAAACGGAATTTCAAATTTCCGTATCGTAACAATAAAATTCGATGAATTTTTTCTCTCTTCCTGCTAATTTCTCAGTCACGATGTAAGAAATTTGCTCTGATTTTTGCTTACCTTCTTCCAACCTACCTTCTATACTGCATCGGGTGGGTGGCGGCAACATTTTCGACACGTCGTCCATATAAGAACGTATAGAAACGAAATGTTTCTCACAAAACTGTTGCACTGGATCACGCATTATTTGATATGGTTCGAAGGTACTCATACGCTGTTCCAATATACTGTTGTTGGCATTTAGAAGCGTGCGACTGGTATTATCATTTCGGCGTGGTGTCACATTTGTAGTAGGACCAGACACAATGACTTCGTGATCGCTCTAAAATGCAAGATTGAAAAGTATTTAATTGTTTTGACTGAATACCTTATATTAGCATGATGAACTGACATTTCCGTTCACTGGCAACTGCATCACAGACTTCTGATTGCCATTATTTTGATGTAGCAAAGCCGGTGAAGCATGATGTACTGATACCGCATTAGTGATAGTTGGTGCTGTTATCGAACCTATTGATTGATTCAATGCATCTGTACTGTATTTGAGAAGAGCATTGCTTGAATTTAAGAGCATAGTTGGACCCTGTGATTGAGGTCTAATCTTTGTGGGCGAAGTCGTCACCGTCACTCCTCCTGAAGTCACTTGGGTTGAAGGTATACCCCATTTATTGTGTCCTGTTATTATAACATTATTACTAAGAGGCGGTACGGGTGTTACATAACCCGGGTTATTAGAGCTCGTAGTAGTTTTCGGCACAGCGCCTGTTTGCACTACGACATTGCTACTGGAGTTGGAGTTGTTGGCAGTATTTGAACCTGAACCCGAGAGTAAGCCATTCTGACTGATCTGTTGTGATGAACTAAGACGAGTCATACTTTTATGCAGTCCTCCTACTGAACCTCCGGCTACATTTAAACGGGTCATACTCCGATGCGTATTACCAGAGGGATGTAAGCGACCGGTACTACGGGAATCGCCCAACTTTACTCGTCTTGTATAACTTGTGTGAGGAGGCGTAGGTGGCACAACAGTACCGACTGTAGGGTATGCAGCGCTCGCATTATTGGCGGTGGCGACGGTATTGTTATTTGTAGCTGGGGAATATTTTTTTTTACTTTTCTAACTTAATTTCTGAAGTTTCTGAAGCTTACGTATTTTAATATTACCCGTAGTGATGGTCTTCCGATACACATCTCTCGGGCTGCTGGGACTACTACGACTCTGCTTACTTTTATGTATACGGCTGTTGGGCGGCGTTGCTACAGATACTGTGGTAGTGCTAGTCATCGGATCAGCGTTTATAATAGTGGAATGATGTGATGTTGTTGTTAGTAAACCTTGCAGTGCTGTGGCATTGACTATTGTTGTTACCAAGCCACCACCAACACTATTTGGCACTTTTTGGGATGAAATCACTGGCGTTTGATGCTGATCTGATGGACTATTCAAGTTGACTATAGTAACACCGCCAGATATTTTATTACCTACATCCACACTTGTCTCCGAAGATGATAGTTTTTGTTGACTAAAGTGACAAAGACGAAATAACAATATCGTGAAAGTTGACGCAGGATTTTATGCTAACCTTGAAATATTTTTTTGACGTACGCAAGCTAATACTTTGTCAGTAAATAAAGCGGGAAATGATGAACATAATTTAGTAGCTTCTTGCAATAAGATTGCCTGCGAATTACGATCGGCCATCGGTAACTGTTCTAAAACGAAGTCCAAGGCATATTGAGCATTTTTCTTCGAGTTGCGACCAGCGGTAGCCATTATTTGAGCTCCTAGTGTTATGGTAGCTGGATTAGTTTTGGTAGCTGAACGTATTTTATCAAAATGCTCGGCTACTAACAGTGGACGCTGTTCAGCTAACTTCAAAAGAATTTGCATTGTGGTGCCAGCAGTTTCATTATCGTATAAGAGCTCACAAAGAAGTGCGATACAACATTCTAAAACTAGCGGAGTTCTTTGAGCAATTAACAAATACAATTGGAATACGGCAAGTCTTTCTTGAGAATCACACTCGGGTAGCAAAGCTACCAATTGAGGGGCCTGCGGGGACACAGTTTCCGGCGAGACTTCGTATATTTGTGCAAGTACACGTAACAGGCCATAATTACCGGCAAGTATTGAATTCATAATGGAGTCTACATGCGGGCTAAGCAGATAAGCGTAGTCAATAGCGGCTAGTGACAGATAACTAGCCAAATTTCGTGAAAGTTCACGATTTCCTTTAGGTAAAAATTGCACTGCTATAGGTAAAGCTAATTTCATAACTTCCCTCTTATCATAGTTCTGCGGAAAGAAAAATTTTCCCCATTAAATTTTTTTCTACTTTTTGTTATTTGATTGAGTTTACCAAAAATATACTGGATATAATGTCAGCAGCTATTTTAGCATGTGGTGGATCTTCTTTTGTCGTCGTATTCGGTTGAAGATTCTGTAAGAGACATGTTTTCAATAACTCAATCAAACCTGAACAATAACGCTCGGTTGTACGCGTCTCGCGTATACATGATAGAACGCGAGTAATACAGATCTCCACCACAGATTGATCATTATTGTTCTTCAAATAATCGGATTGTGAGATGATTGAGTTGATTTCAGTTATCTGTGAATGATTAATAAATTAATTTAAATAAGAAATCAAAATATAAATGACAGGAACTTTAGTACCTACCACATCAATGATATCGTTTACGATCTCATTATCGGGTACCGAAAATAAGTCACCTGCACGAGACAAATCACGTTTTGAGAGTACTTTGGTGAAGAGCTCATGCATTTTTATCTGCTCCGCATGTACACAGTGAACGATAAGAATAATCGTTTTAAATGGTATTGTTACGCTCTCGCTCTTTCCTTCTTTCTCTCATTCACGTTTCCGTACTTTCACATAAGATTACGTTTTAACGCAAGAAAAGGTTTTACGCAAAATGTTTGTAAAGAGCGGAGAAACATTTGCTTCATATTAAATAGTTTGTACGTTTGAGAGCCCTTTCAAAATTTTTTATGTGTGTGTTTTCTAAGAAAAAATAAATAAGTAAGCTGTAAATTGCAAAGCATAGACGACGCACCGAAATTCTCATGGTTTGTTTATTTATGTTGAGTCATAAATCGTACCAAGAGTACTTAAATGTTTCATTATCAATATCATCGACTTTCTCGACTTGGTTCCAGGGCTGCTTTTATATACAACACTGGAAGAACGTTTACTTTATCTAGGTTTGTCTTTAGGTTTCTGATGATCAAATGTTAATTAATTATGTATTTGTATATATGATTTAAGTCTCAAAACTTAAAAATTATTATAGAAAGCTTAAATTTAGTACAGGTAGATATAAGCTCCCTACAAACACTCCCATAATGATCAAAAACAAAAAAGAAAACGTCGAAAAGTGCAAAAGTTTTAAAATACTATTTTTAAATGTTACAACCTGCTGGAGGTATCAATCCAATATTTCGTAAAAATACTCATGAGAATCTTGTAGAAGTTTAAAGAAGACGAGAAATATCTGCGATCGAGCAGATTGACACGCCCACAATTAACGAAAAAATTTTAAAATTTTGTAAGCATTTGCTTAAGGCGTTCGAGAGCCTTCATTTGCTGTTATTTTGTTGTTGAGCAAAGAGGTTTTGCAAATAAATTGTTGTTTGGGAAAATGTGTTGAAATATACTTTTGTTGTTGTTGCTCATATTGTTGTTATTGTCTGGATACATTTTTGTGTGATTTTTATCTTATCTTACATTGTCATCGGAACATGTGCATATATGGATGCATTTTATACCGCCGCACTTGTATACATCTGCACTTAATACTCAGAATTAATGAAATAAGCGTAGCTGATTTCGCTTTTCCTTTACGCTGATGAGAGTAGCTTTCAGTGCACTTAATTTTATTATCTCTTTTTCATAAGGTAGACATGCTGTAAGCATATAATAGCTGTTGTTGTTTGTGTTATCAATTATATTTATCCTAATAGATATTTAAACATTTTTGCTGTTTTGCTGTCGGCATGCTGGCATTCTGCTGATTTAATCAAATTCTTTTATCGCTGCAAACTGTACGAAATGGCTTTCGCTGGAAAGCAACTAAGCTGCTTAACATTTTTTGAATAAAATAGTGAAGAAAAGCAAGTTCAAATATTTTAATTTGTTATTTAACAAATTTTAATGGCATTCCGTAGTAGTGCTTTAAATGAGTAAATTCACTATGGCTATTGTCCACGCGAGCAAAACTCATGTAAAATATTTTCAAAGTGTTTATTTTGAAAAAGTATTAACAAGATATAAAAGGTTTGTAAATAAAAGAAAAACAAGAGAAAAAAGTGAGCTGCAATAAAAAATATGCAATACATATACTGCCTTTCATTTATGTATGTCTAGTTGAGTGATCTAACTTTAGGCTCGTATCGAGGTAGTACAGTTACATATATGCAGCCAGTAAATAATAAATAATGAATATGGAAATGTATATGCGATGGCGATTAATTGATAAGTAAATAACAAAATATAAAATAATTAAACATTAGCATATTTATGCAAAATTAGAGAAAGTAAAATAGAACTGAAAATTCATTCAAAACAACCAATAGAAACTGTATTACACTATATTTTTGCACAATAAGGGATCAAGTCCAATTGTTATATTTGGTGATTGCATTTTGTATTCTTTCTTCTAACACATGTACAAAATCCTATCATACAACGAACGACAATTAGTTTTCAATGAATATAAATAAATACTCATAATTAGTTTTTCTAATTCAAATTCACGCTTCGTGTCTTCATTTTTTGACCGCAGCGACTACACACAAATTTATGAATCAAAATTGTGCACAACGGTAGAAATCGGTATATGCAAAACGGCGGTGGTTCTAGCGTTAAGAAAAAAAATTTCATGGTTCTCAATCAAATGATTTTTTTGGTGAATATATTTCAACGTTACGTGAGATCGTGCGATTAACATTTATATCGCGTAACAAGCCAAGGTTCCGAAGTGTTGCACGACTCCTATAGTCTTGCTCTTGAAGCCAATGAAACTCATTTACATTCATTTTAATCAATATTTCTACCACAAATATTTATTATATTAACACTACAACTATCGAGTACGTCATTTTGATCCTTTCTAATTTGCGATCTTTAAAATCACGGTTATAAAGCAATATTGCAAAATTTTTTAGTGACTTTTATTTACATGAAAAGACCTTTAAATACCTAAAATAATTGCTTTCTTACGTGATCCAGATTTAGAAGTGCTGATGACACATACCTATTCTTATCAAAAGGGTCCAGTTTGATCATTTGACCCTCTATTACTTGTCAGAGTTATAAAAAAGAAGACAAGAACTTGAAATCGCTTGCATACTCTTTGCCTGATCGATTAAGAATGTGGGATTAAAAATTGGGCGCGCTCTGTTAAGGCATGTCTGCAATATGGAAGAGAACTGAACAATCTTGGAAAAGGCCGTGAAAATATTTCTGAAAGCGTATCACTAAAATGTTCGTTACGTCTCGAAGCCGGGGTCTTGAAAACGACAAACAGCGTAACTCTAACAATTTTCATTCTTATCTTCCAATTTTTTTACAATGTCTTTAAAATGACATTCTCTAGTAAGGCACGGGGAAAAGATTGCCTTTTTTTGTTCGAAAACTTTTCAAATACTCTCCGAGTTTCACCGTGCTACTTTTTTCAGAATTAGTTACACTGCGCCCCGCAAAAATCCTAAAATTCGGAATGCCTCGCAGAAGTGGCCTCAGTGTGTCAATTTTTATTTATTTTTCAAAAATAATTTTTCTAGTTTTTCTTTTTAATACTTAAATATAACAGAATATTTAATAACTTTCTCTAATAATATTATGCTAATCCCTTCCAAGCGCCATTAAAACAACTGCAACTTGTAAACTAATGGTCGAAATATCATGGCATTTTGACATACATCGTTTGCACTCTACTCAGAAATCATATGAATGTGTCAATAATTTCATTATATTTGTGCCAGAACAGAGACTTATCGAGTGATATGATACAAAATAAGATAAATTGTTGAAGGTAAAAATATCAAATTCCGGAAAGATTCAGGGTTTATGCTAAATAGTTTTATCAAATCTTATTTTTACAAAAAAAAAAATGATGACATAAAAAACTCGTTATGCCTTGCTTGCTTGAACGGAACTGGAGCTAACACCGGTAATAATGGAGAAGGGCAACGAAATAGAAAACAAAAATATGCATATACATATATAATAAAATATATATATATATTTTATATATATATATATACTTTATATATATATTTTATATATATATATATACATTGCTTACAAAGCAAAGTGAATGAACAATATGCCACCCAAAACCGGTAATATTAGTTAATATTCATGTATGTAGACATATATAATTTTCACGCACTGCAGTCACAGTAAACAAATTGAAAAAACAAAAGCAATAACAACAACAAAATAACAAATAAAATAAAAAACAATAATAATAATAGTTGTACACAACAACAGCAACAAAATCCGAAGTGGCAAAGCATGTTGGAGAAAATTCAATGAGCTAAACAGTTACCGGAGATACAACGTTATATTATGAACCACACAAGTTACTGTTGTAGTTGTTATTGTTTTGGTTAATTCACATTATCACGCACCTTTCAAACATACATAATCAAAGATACGTTGGAAACACTGTCTTTATTATTGTTTGTGTTTTTTTGTTTTATATGACTACATGTAATGAAACGTAACGTACTTAAATATATGTGTACATACGTTTGTGTGCGTGTGTGAAATGTTTAGAGATCTAAACGAAAGATAAAATAAAGAGTTATGAAGAAAAGATAAAAAAACAAACCAAAACCATCAAATGTTGAAAATCCAGAAATGTCAGCGCACGAGTTTAGCAATATTTTAAATGAGTTGAAAACTATGGCAATAAATAATATTAATAAATATATTAAATAATTTCGATGTATTTGTTAATTAGTAAGAATGAACACTGAACATAAACAGCAATTTTTAATAAATTATGATATGAACTGCAACCTCAAACACAAGCATATAGAAAAGACCTGAAACGTTGTCACTATTAGTAAAAATGTTTAAATTATTTGTAGCAAAAACGGAATAATGTAGAAAGTGTTAATTTTATGAATATAGCACATCGGCCAATAAGTTTATATATAGATATCGCCACTATAGATGTCGCCACTATTCACGAATTCGTATGATTTGTAGATTGTACCAATTTTCAAACGAAGTATCAAACGCGACGTTCCGGCAAAATCTTATGATATGCTCATATGATCATAAGTTTGCAAGTTACAGTTGTTTTGGAGACTTCGTGTGTTAATCAAACGTAGCTTTTGGTGAGAAAAATAGTTTCAGGATCAGCTTCAAAAATGTTATCGCAACTTATGTCTATCGAAAAGATTTTTGTGTATGGTTTGCTAGTTTTAAGCGAAGACGTATGGACGGACAACAACGATACTCTGGTCGCCCGGGTTCGGTACTTGCTCTAGAAAATATAAAAAAGTTGTACGAAATCGTTTTTGAAGAGGAAAAGTGAATTTGCGTGAGATACATGATTATATTTTGCCGGAATACTTATCCGTGAGAAAGCTTTGTTCGAAATGGATGCCGCGTTTGCTCGCCTTTGATAATTCAGAGCGTTATTTAACGTTGCGATAGGTAACAATGTAACATGGATCCAATAGTATACTCCAGAATCAAGTAAAAAAGTATCCTCACTAAAGCAGCTATAACTTGTAAACTGATGCAATGCTAACATATTTTGTTTGAAGTTTAGCACTATCTAAAAATTATAGGACGTCATTAATAACGGCAACATATGTAAGTCATTGTACGACCTTATTGACCGGCTTGTTGTATTAGTTTGGGGAAAAAGAAATCCATTATTTTTTCGGTAGATGGCTGCACTAATAGATTTCTCGTAAAGTATCGATCAAACAATTTCAGATTTATGCTCGTTGGAAAGGTGACATTTCGCAGTAAAAAAATTCTTTTGCTGTTTTTTGTTTGGTGCATTCGGTTGTGAGTTACAGCGTGTTAAAAATGGAAATGAACAAAGAGAAAATTCGGTACATTTTACAGTTTTTCTTTGACAAAGGCGAAAATGCAAGCCAGGCGGCTAAAATTGTGAATGGAGTTTATGGTTCCGATACTGTAACAGCCAATTATGTGCAATTTTGGTTTCGTAGATTCCGTTCAGGAATTTTTGATGTTAAAGATGCACCTCGCACAGGTAGGCCGGTCGTCGAAAATGTCGATAAAATCGGGGAAACGATCGAAGTTGACCGGCATGTTAGCAGTCGTAACATCGCCCAGGAGCTAAAAATCGACCATAAAACAGTTTTAAACCGTTTACACAAAGCTGGATTCAAAAAAAAGCTCGATGTTTGGGTGCCACACCAATTAACAGAAAAAAACATGATGGACCGAATTTCCATCTGCGAAGCCTTGGCCAAACGGAATGAGATAGACCCATTTCTTAAACGGATGGTAACTGGAGATGAGAAATGGATCACATACGACAACCCTGTGCGAAAACGATCGTGGTCAAAGAGCGGTGAAGCACCTCAAACGGCCAGGAAGTCTTTGCTATGCATTTGGTGGGACTGGAAGGGGATTATTTATTATGAGTTGCTTCCATATGGCCAAACGCTAAATTCTGATCTCTACTGTCAACAACTGGACCGTTGGAAGATAGCGATTGACCAGAAACGGCCAGAATTGGCCAACAAGAGAGGTGTCGTGTTCCACCAGGACAACGCTAGGCCACACACATCTACAGTGACTCGCCAGAAACTTCGGGAGCTTGGTTGGGAAGTTTTAATGCATCCGCCATACAGTCCGGACTTGGCACCAAGCGATTATTATCTTTCTCTTGCATTGCAAAATTTCTTTGATGATAAAAAATTGGAATCTAGGGATGATTGTGAAAATCGACTACTAAAGTTTTTTGCAAATAGAGACCAGGACTTCTATGAGAGAGGCATTTTGAAGTTACAAATCGTACAACAAAACGGTGCAAAGCCGTATATTGTCCGATGCTTTTTCCGATCATTACAATGTGAATTATAAAATGAATCAATTTTTACTTATTATTATGAGTTATTTTCTTGAAATCTTTATAATCACAAGCCTACTTTCTTGCTAGCCATTCAAGTCGTAGGTTTCCTGAATTGACATTTGTGCCCGCACCGTTTCACTTATGCGAAATGCTTGTCTGTTTATCTCAGTACGTCATTCCTGTTAATCTTGTTATTTTAAACTTAACGCTTTTTGAATTAAGTGATTTTATTCTAAAATTTCATATAATTCTCCGGTTTTGTATGTTACCTGAATGATTTTACAAAAAAAAGAAGAAATAACGTTCAAACAATAAAAAAAAAATTAAGGAAATTAACAGTGAAAAAAAAAATCTTATCAAATCTTCAATCATTGTTTATTATGAATAAACTTCCTTCTGTTTCTATTTTTCACATCGTCATAACATTATTATAATTATTGTCTTCATATATTCAATAGAAATATAGAAATTTATTGATTTCTATATTTAAAAAAAATTTCTATTATTATTACCTTTTGAAACTAAAAATATGTCAATTACCTGGATTCTAAGGCCTTTTTTATTTTCACACGACGATATACTAATTTCGTTATTACTATATTTAGAAACAAAAGCTTCGCAGATTCGTAAAAATATGTGCATTCCGAAGTCATTTCGCTATTCTTCTATTTTTTTGGGACAAAACGAAAGGCGATTGACTTTCACGTGACCATAAGCGGTCGGATTCGACAAATTCAGTTTGTCAGTGCACTCACGTACGTACTCACGTTGGCGTATGACGCTTTGCATCAATTGGTGCCCTCGTTTTGTTTCCAGCAACTTTAAGCGGCTTTTCACAAAGTGTATCTTCGACATCAAAATTTTCTTTTAGGAAACCAATCTTCGGCCTGGTGTTCTATCAACACATCCTCTTCCTATGCATCCAATAATTTTTTTTTTTGCTTGAATAGTAATATATTTCAGCCTTTTTGATTGGATAAAAGTAAAGTATGTCGAAAGTGCTGCTTTCGATTATCCATATTTGATTGGTCGCCGAACCTAAACTATCGTGCAGAATCAAACGATCTTTTTCACAAATAAGCCGTGCTACCGTCATAGGGCAACTTAAATGTGAACTTGTCTAAGAATACATGATGAATATGAAGAATACAATGATTTTCCGAACAATTTAATAGATATTCATTTTTCGGATTACATGGGAATAGAAAAATTGGAATAGAAATCTAAAGCTTACTCTATATACATATAAATATATATTCAGAGATCGTCCGCCCAGAGCAATCATAAAAATATGTATTAATTGCGTAATTAGGTGCTTGGTGAAACCAAACACATCGAAAATACTATCGAAAAATAATGCAAACAGAAATCTTCCTAATAAACTTTATAATAGGTAGTTAAAGATTATAGTTAGAACTTTGCAAAAAACCGTAAGGAAACCTGCGATTTATATACGTATATATGAATTAAGAGATATAAAAAATACAACTCGAATATTGTTTTTTAGTTCAATTGTTTTTCAATTCGGTATATTTTTGTATTCATTTTTTAACGTTTTCTCAATAAAATAAATTTTTGTTTTTTTAACAAAATAAGGTAATTAAATTATTGTTTAATAAGTTGTATAATAAAAATTGTATAACCATTACGGAAAGGAGAGGTTTATTAATTACATTCTCTCATTTTCAATCGATTTACAAACCGATCGTTATTCATTGAGAAAGATGACAGATTACATTACAAAATAATTCCTCGGATTGAGCCAGGTTTTCGGCAACGCTTCCATTTTGCTTGATTATTTGCTACATACAATTGATATCTTTGCTAACGCGTAGACCTGGGTTGAAATATGTTCAATTGCTATTCCTATCGCACCATTGAGGTTTAGAAATTTTTGCATACATTGGAAAAATTGGACGATAACGGTAAATACATTTTTTCAAAAATTGGTTCAATATACGTCACAACCTAGCAAATCGTTGATTTATTTAAAAGGATGAAATAGTTTGCAGGTAAAGGGAGACTTTGAAAACAGATGGAACGTGCTGATTGAGACTTAGCAGATATAAGCAACAGAAATTGTATATAACGCATATATTTTCAATGTGCGTTAAAGGATAGATGGTTTAAAAGATTTTGTGAATTCTTTATTCTATCTATTGTACTTGTATCTGTTTAGAAATATATAATAGCTAAAAGATCAGAAGGAACAAGCAATACAAAACAATATGTATATATTTCTGTATATACATATGCGAATTCTTATAAATAATTAATGGATTCATATGCAAACCATGGATATAAAAACCAGTTACAAGATTTCAAGTTAGATATGCGTACTTGATAATGTAACTGAACCAGAAAACTCTTATAATTGTTAAAAGCTGAAAGCCATGTATACCTGTGCAGACAGAGTTCTTCATACACATCGTTCCAGTAATTTAATAAAAATTTTCATAATTTATTAGTCACACGGGTACAACAGAAACTCGCTAGACTTTGTGGCTAATAGTAATGAGTACCAATATGTTTATCGAGCAGACTTATTGATGAACAATAACTTATTCTCTTTTGGAAAATTTCTTAAGCTCTTTTTTGTTTTAAACTCGAATTGTTAAAAATAATTTCAATAATAAATCAACATAAAGAGTTTTTATAAAACGAATAAAGAGTACATTTTATAGTTACCTGTGCAACAAGTATCGATTTCGACTTTGTGTGGAAGAAAGAATAAACCATATATATATGTATATTTATATTTATACATAAATATACACATACACACATATGAGAACGCTGATATCAATGTGTGCTTGAATGAATGCTTGGTTTTTGAAATCGATGTGTAATGAAAACTGGCTTTAAATCATTTATCGCCGAATGGTTTTTCGTTGCTTTTGGTTTCTCCCGAATAAATGAAATTTACAACGTTTGTGATTGATTTTAAAGATATAGCAACCATTAATACTGAAGTGGAGACGTACTTTTTTACTTACTGGTTTTTTATTTACTGATATCTATCTATCTCTGTGCGGTCAATTTGTTATTGCGTCCAAAGCAAAAAAGAAAAATAAATAAGTAAAACATGTTTTAGCTTTAACTGGTTTATCTGCATAGAAAGGCACACACGCATCCAAGAACGTGTGACAAGTAAATGAAAACAACGGTAGTTTTGTGTTGAACTGTTTTGTGAGATATTAATAGCTCGATCTTCTCTGAACTCTATCTGTATTTACCATGTGGCCATCAAATTAGTTACATACATACATGCTTGTATATTTGCGGAAAAATACAACTAGTTTTTTGTTTGCTCTTTTTTTATACTTTACTTTCAAAACTGGTTAAACTATTGAAGGTAATATATTACTCCGAAATTTTTATTACATTTTATCCGTATTCGGATACTCTTCTTTCTTCTTGCAAATGATTTTTTAAATAACCTTTTTGATGTTTAGTACCAAGGATTTTTTATATATCCTTTTTCGATAACAATTTATCTGCCGTACATTTTTTCAGATTTGACGTTGTGAAGTTTCATTTTTTTTTTTTTTTTATATTGGTTTATGTGAAACCTTATTGACCTAGGGTAGACTTTTGTAACATTTTTTTTTTTTTTGATTGTTCTTAAATTCGCTCTTTTTTTCATTTGTCATTTTGTTATAATAATGGCCACTAATTCTTATTGTTTGATTTGTTATATATATTTATTTTTTGCTATTCTTTATTTTTAACTACATTAGTATAAAAAATCACAAAAAAAAGAATACATTATCTAAATGTTACGATCCTCGCGACACTAACCGTTAATGACTAAACAATCTAGCTCTGTGGTTGCAGATCGTCAATTGATGTACTCTTAGACCAACAACCAACACTAATGCACTCATGCATGTTAACTTTGAATTAACACCACATAAAGTAAACAAATGCTCTTAAAATTGTCAGATGCTATGTGTCTTACATTTTATATATACCACTCTCTCACGCTCTTTCGTAGATTGTTCGCTCTTTTATAAATTAAAAATTCACCTGTTTTTTTAATCTCCACTCTCACTTGATCTTCTTACTAAAATTTATTTATTATTTTAATTTTTTAGCAGTGTGTTTAAGTGACCTTCTATATATAACTCCAAATTAATTCTGTAAGGCATATCCAAAAATTGTAAATGAGGCCAAGTTTTCGTTTTGTGGATAAAAACGCACAACAAAGTCAATAGTAAATAAAAAACAGGTGTTGCTATAAAAGAAAGAGGGAGAAAAAAGGAAACTTATGAAAAGTATGCCAAATCTTGTAGGAATTAAATGGAATAATAAGAAAAAACTTGCCTTACAACTTCAAAAAATATTGAAATAAAAAAGCAAAATAATGAACATTTATATTACTAATTTGTTTGGTGGATAACGATAAAATATTTCTTAGAATATTTTTATCTCTTTTTTTATTTTGAAATTAAAGAAATCACATGTTTTGCAATAGTGAAGCCAAGTTATTATAGAAATGCGTGCTGTACACAAAATTTATAACTGCTTCGAGTTCTCTACGCAGAATGCGGTAAAACGCAATTACTATTATACTATTATTTAGATTTTAATTCCAAAATAAAAAAAGCAATGTATAATATGCGCTTGCCCGCATTTTTTCTAAGGACATCTATTGGTGAAAGTGATAAAGTAGTGCGAAGTATCAATGTACAATGTAACGGCTAAATTCGATGATTTTGACTTTTCTCTTCATAAAATAACAGTTTTCAATTTAGTATTATGGATTAATCCGACGTATACCCACGATAATCTTAAAATTGCATTTTCAACATCACCATCGTCATTTACTTTTGTTGATTGCCAGGCAAAAAAGGAGGAGATTTTTTTGACATATTGCGAATGGCGATGAGAAGTATTACTACTACGAGAATCCCAACTGCAAAAAAGTCATGAGTGAGGTCAGAAGAGGCATTCACGTTGACGTGGAATATTCATGGCAATCAAGAGTTATTGTGCATATGATCAGCGGCTAGGAGCAAAGTCATCCGCTTGCATGACAATGCTTGGCCATACGTTGCAAGAGTTGTCAAGGAAAGACTGTTGCAGCTCGAATGAGAACTTCTGCAGCACTCACCGTACTCACCGTGCATAGCCGGTTTGGATAACACGCGGTTTCAATATGCTGAAGAATGCGAAAATGGTTCAATGATTGGCTCGCTGCCGAAATAATATCGTGCTTTCGACACGGTATCGACATGTTACCAGAAAAGTGGAAAAAAGTTGTCGAAAATATTTTAAATAATATATATTATACCAAATTTTATCAATAAATACCTTTTTCAAGTGAAAAAATGATCAAAATACCTGCAATTCTACTTAATATTTTTTTAATATTTATATATTTTTTTATTTCAGTTTCTCTAAATTTTATACTCATTTAAAGTTTAAAGGAGAAAAACAAACAAAGCATTTTCATTAATTAACGTAATTTTTCCTTATCGAGTTGTTGTGATAATAACGGTAAATCTAACCTAAGATGTATGTGTGTATCGTGTATTCTATTTTGCCAGTAACATTTCTGTAAACAAAATTTTATTCTTTCATGGTTAATTATTCCTGCTTATTCTCTCTCCTCGAAGACTATGCTAGAATATGCACATTTTTCTTTTTTACGTTACGTTTTTCATTTTGAATTCGAAATGACAGAGAAAACAAAGCAAGAAAATGTGTAAGTCTATAGCCGAAATCATACTTAATATCAAAATATTTGCTCTACATTTTTAATTGCCCAGCAGAAGAATTAACATCGTTCGTATTGTTCCTTAGGACCAATGGTAGAACCAATTCAATGGTAGCGTGAGCGAAGCAAAACTAACTCATTTTTGTTCGAAAATGTTTTCCATTGAACTTAGACTTTCTGAAGACAACTATTAGTGGATTCAGCAGGCATAAAAGACACTAGACTGTAAGTTTCCAGCCGACACGAAGTGAGTTTATTTGCATACATTTTAGGACGATCAAAGCAGCCTTTAACGCAATAAAATGAGATGTAATTTTTTGAAAAACCTAAGGTGGTACTACTTACCCCTTAAATTATATTACTTTTGCTTGGTATGTATGCTTAATTTAAGCGCTATATACCAAATAACAGATTTCAAATTATCCTTTTTGGTGCACCTGAGCACCACTATTGTAGCTCTTTCTTATCCCTAAAAAGCTCAGATGTCATTTAATGTTAACTAATGTAATTATTTTATGCAATCTTTGACTCTACAATTCTCGGTGGTTTGTCTTTAAAGCTTGTAAAAATTCTTTATAAATATTTAAACGCATTCTCCTTGCCCTCTGACCTCGCATATATAAACATTGAAAAGTCAATAGAAATCTTAATTAATGCTATGAATTCGCTTAACTTTGTTTGCCAAATAAATAAGAAAAATTTGCTTTTTTTATTAATTAAATATTTTTAAATAGTCCAAACGATCATTTAAAATTTTTACAGAGTTCATTAAAAACAAAAAAAAAAAAAAAACAAAGGACAAAGACAATTATTAATTAAACATCCGAAAAGAAACAAAAAGCAAAAAATCGAGCAGTTTTTAAAATTTTTTTAGAAGAACGTAATATATTCAATTAATTGAATTTCTAACTTTCACTCTTTTGAATATACGCCTCATTTAGGCATACTTTGACATCATCCTCTCAACAAATGCAATATACTCCTTTTTCGCTTCATCTTGCGATTTATTTTTCTGTTTATTCCACCATTCCCATTTGGCTTTAGCTTTTAAATCGAATAGACTTGGCTTGCTAGTATTATTATCACCCATATTAGCTTGTTTAAAAAGGGCATACAATTCTAAAAATTCTTCATCATTGGGTCGTTTAGTCATCGTTTTAATACGCTCAGCGGCGGCATTGAATTCCTGCAAAAAAAAAAAGTTAATCATATATTTTATAAAAAGTAACAATGAAAAGTTACGTTAGTTCGTATTAGAAAAAAATTTGGACATCAACCAGCTCGCGATAATATAGAGGACCCATCTTATGTTGGATTTTCTTTCCTTTTTTTTAATTATGTTATAACGTTCCTTTAGTCTCTTCGCCGCTCCAAGTTTATCAATATTTACTATTCCACCTTGGGACAGTGCATTATTTTAGAAGGCTTTTAAGCTATCTAACGTTTTTTACACAAAATCCATTTTAGATTAGAATAGCTTACCGCCATCAGCGGTAGTTTTACTACTGTTGTGAACGCATGGCGAGCAAATAACTTTAAGTTTTATGAAGAAACTTAATCCGACTTGTAGAGTTCATATTGTTTGTATGGCAATAAGAAAATGAAGCAGAAGTAGAAAAGAAAATATTATGAACGTATAGTATAGTGAAGCGAATATATCGACTTCGTACCATACTTAAAAGTTGGGAATCATTACGTTTAACTTTCTCAGAAAAATTGCAGGAATTAAATTTTGTCGAAATTTGATTTAAAAAAAAAAGTAATATAATATGTCACACAGTTGGCAAAAGAACTGAATTATTGAAGATGTAATAAAGTGATAAGCATTCTTAATCAACCCTCTCTATATTTAAATTATGATTGTGTTTTAGATGGTTATAGGAAACAGTGGAAACTGGTTTCCGGCCGACATCTGTTTTCGATTCTAAATTCTTGAGTAAGGTATTTAAAACCTTTGGAATACCTTAAATTCTTGAAATTTTTTCATAAGTTTACTTAGTATACCTATTTGTCTATTATGATCTGTGGATTTCCATCAAGTATGCATGAAGTTTAAATAGAAATGTCGTAAGTTTAATAAAAAGCAAAAAAAGGAAACAGGCAGACGGATGGACAAATTGACCTTAACCAAATGTAAATGTTCTATGTAAATGTAATGCATATGAAAAATAAGAAAGGCAAAAGAAAGTCAGGGAAAAGAATAACAAATAATTAGCATTTGAGCTTATTATTTTGTTAAAAAATATTAGAAGCGCAGAGAGACACTACCAGACGAAATTTTGTTTAGCAGAGAAGAAACTTTTGAATGATCTTAAAATTTTATATATTTTCAGAATGACAAACGATGTCCTTTCCAATCGTTGCCGTTGGTGTGTCAATTACTTACCTCATCCAAAGACATATTCAGTTACCAAGTAAACTAAAATTAAAATAACAAAAGATAAATCAATTCAGTAAATGTTAAAGCGAAAATCTTTTTTTTTTTTCTAGTTTTTTATACTTTATCGGTTTTTATGATTTTATTTCATATGCTACCAGTTACGATAAAAACTATGAAATGAATAACTAAAAGCTTTTAAAAAAATAATCAAAACGGTAAAAAGAAAAACAAAAAGGCATATTTCTGGTTACTCTGCCAAAAATTAAAAGAAAAAAAAAAAAGAAGTCAAAATATTTTTTAATGCTCGTACCTCTTAAGGCAGTTTCGTGTAATTATATGGTTAGCCAATATGTTTTCAGACTTTCTCTACAACTAAAACAATAAAGCTTAGATTTTGAAAGAAATCATATATCATATATATATGTGAGCATGAAATTATTAGCAGTAATTATTTGGTAATGCTTTGCGGTTAAGTCAAATATGTCTAATAAATACACTGATAGAAAAAATGTTTCATTCTGTTTCTCCATTTTTTTTCTTCTTTACACAAATCGTCAAATCATTCTTTTCGAAGATCTTAAAAACTTCATTTTGTTTAAACTAAGTCTTTTCTTTGGCGTGAATTTATTATTAATTAGAAATATAATAGTAAACATTTTTTGAATGGAGACAAGGAATCTGATTACTGTTAGGAATTGTAAAATCATTTTAAAATAATAAATTCATGCATTCGTCTTTCACGGTAGACTATCCCAAAATAAATATTAAATAGATTTCAATAAATAGAGGCTAATTTCGGTTACAAACATTGAAATAGAAACTTAGTATCAAAACACGAAGTCCACGCTCACAATATGCCCATTATAATTTCACATATGTGTATTTTTCGGTGAGTTCAATGTACTTATTCTTGCTCAATGTTTTCCAGCCTCCACTGATAAAGAATTCTTCTTTAATTTTGTAGAAATGTTGCAACAAAATATTTGATTCAAGTGTTTTATGTATGGCAAGCATGCAAAGCAACGCAACCGTAATCATTTACGTAAAAGCTGTAGAACGGAAATGCGTTGATTAGAAAATATGAAATGCGTAAAATTTGCACCGCACTCAATATAAAAGAAGCTTACTTTTTAGAAAAGAAAAGAAATAAGGAAACTGTCTGAGATAATTAACATTTGACGAAATAACAAAAAAACATCAAACGTGCTGCTCTGTTTGCCGCAATCAATTTTTTAGAAGAGTATGATAAAAATTTGTGATTAGAAGTTGTAGGATAAAAGACATGGAAATGGTGAATTGTTCTTATCTACTTTTAGATATTCTTGATCTATTCGAATTAAAATTAGAGTTTGTTCGTTGCAATTTTAACATAATTTTTTGAATATAAAAATACGGACAGCTGTACCAAATAACCCCTTTTATTTTTTTTCCAGCGTTGTGTGAATACATTCAAATCTTGTATTTATTGTTATATTATTATATTTGTTGAAAATCACGAAAGTTTCGGTCTCATCGATTACTATTATAAAAAAAATAATTTATTACTTTATTATATCAAGCATTGAAGTTTTGTTGTTCGGTTTATTATAATCAGAAATACGAACAATGGACTATAAGTGTTTTAATTTTTCGTTATTCATTAGCCCTGACGGTTTTCAGTTTCGGTTTCTCATTCAGCAAAAATTAACGATCCTGCATATAGGAAATAATCCATTCACACAACCTTAGAATTGGAAGAATGTTAAAAGCACTACAAATTTTAAATAGTTTCTTAATATCGCATCTGATGACATTTGGAAGAGTTGTTTAACGAATAGATCCAAAAAATTGGCTCTAAAGACAATACAAATGGTTTGGTATATACGTTTATATGTTTATGAAGTCCCTTTGTACCACTAATGGTGTTCGAAATTTGTTTTAATAATAAAGTGCTTTCTTTTTTTGCTTTTCATTTTAAAATTTTTAATATTTATATTTAACATTTTTATTTAGGTACTTTTTTTCTATAATTAAATGCCCAAACACTTTAAAATTAATAATAATAATCAAGAAAAAAATCTAATTATATAAATATTTGATCAATAAACACAAATAAACCGCAATAATCGCACTTACTTGTTAATGTTTAAACAGTAAAATATCTTCTGCTATGTTTGCCTGCGCTTGATGATGAATACAATGAAATTATTTTGAATGCCCAATGAGATTGTTTCCATCGTTATGATCGTTTTTAAAGCTTTTACGATATAGCAAAATTTTAAGTGCTTATTATTATTATATCGAATTGTTTATATAAAAGATTAGGATTGCAGTTTAACATTAGTTCGTAGCGCATGGCAAAAAATCTCATTTTGCTTTGGATGGATGGTCCTACGTTTTTTCTTTTTTTCAACTTCACACTAAAATCTTCAATTCTTTGAAAAAATATTTTAATCTTAATTCGATACAAATAAATAAAGTAAATAATTGAAATATCTATTTGATAAACAAAGCAATTAGTGATCAATAAACTTTAAAAATTCTACTCTTGATCGTTTATTTTTGTTATTTAATAAGTGAACAAGTCGAAACACTCTTCTGGGGCATAGCCTACCATTAAATACACTACACCACCCTATAATTATTCGCATATCGGCTTTTCAACATAACGCTTTATATGAGAAGTGGTCCAAAAAGTAGTTCGATACGAATCATTTCGATAGCATTTGTCCTAGAGCCAAAACCCGTCAGTTTAGCAAATTTCGTTAAAATATCTCAAAAATTGCGGCTGAACACGACAAAACAAGAAAGACAGACGAGCTTAGCTAGTTATAATAAAAAGTGGGCCTATCTTGTTAAAGATGTTGTTAACCTTCAGCTATTGTCGTCAAAAAGTATTACAAATTTAACTTTTCTGCCACATATGGCTTAGTTTCCATGGGAATTCTTGTATATAATGCTATCAAAAAAGTAGACGCATAATTGGTTTTTATATTAAAATTCGGGTAGAGACAAATTTTTTTCATGGAAATTATTGAACGAAGTTTAAATAATTGACCAATTCAATCCATATTTCTCACATCTGTTATCGTACGCCTCAACATTATCATTCGGTGATTTTTGTCCGGAAATTTTGAATATTGCAGATTTTTTTCATATGACTTCTTCGAAATAAGTCGTTATATGGGATGTGGTCATGAAAGTTGTCATAGTGGTTATGCAATAGAATCTATTTGCCCTATTTGGAAGACGATACGTCCTTGGGTCAGGATAGGTTCATATATCAAACTTCGTCAAAGTGTCTTCAAAATTGCTTTCTGCGAATTGAACACAAAAATACCTCAACAGACATTAGACAGGGAGACAGACGGGCAGTACAGATAAACTTTATAGATAGATTTAGAAAATAATTCTCCGTCGATTTGTATAGCAAAATGACGGTTCTATCTTAGGCCTTTATGCTCGTTACAAACATCCATTAGCACATTTCAGCACAAACTTTTCTGAACGGTAAATGTTGTGTGTGTGTGTGTGTACGATACAATTATACATATTTTTTAAGCTTGCCTTGGCCTCCCAAAGTCATTTCTCAAATAATGCACTTGCATTTTGTTTATGAGCCCTCAAAGTATGCTTTTAGAAATTTGGTCTTTATTGTATTACATTTTGTTGAAAAATTTTAATTTAATACGCAACGTTGTAAAGTTCTGTAAATTTTGAGTTTAGAATCAAATGAACACTTTCTGTTTTAAAGCTGTTATAAAATTCAATTAAATCAGTAAAATAAACGACATTTGCTATTATATCACAAAAGAGGTGCCGCGTTTAAAGGAATTCTTCTTGATAGTTATCAAAAATGTCTATTTTCATCTGAAAGAAAACGAACGATTTCTTTAGCATGGATAAAGCAAATGAAAGAAGTGCAATTTTATACAAATTTTATAAACGACAAGAAAAAAAAACAAGTAAGAAAATTATATTTGGACCGATTCATACTCTATAATACGGAGTATGCGTCGTTGATTTTTGTATTTTCAAAATAAAAGTTTGTGTCGAATAGGCGTGGCCTCTGGTAAGTTTATGTCACTCTCAAATTCTTTAGAAATCTGTAGGCGATATGTTCACTTTCTCTAACGGAAGAATGTTTAGCACAAATATTGCACAGTTAGGCAGACGGACGAAAGAAACGATGGTGCATTTGAAATTTGAAGCTGTTCGAGAAATTATTTATTTTATGGTGTTTCTGCTTGTTTCTGCTGCTTGTAAAGGTATTAAAAAAAAAGTCAATTTTGATACACTTCATTTTCGTACTGGTGTTACAGCATGTCCCATAGAATATGCGTTTAAATTTTTATACATTTATCTGCTACAATTTATGAGTAATCAGCAAAAAAACAATTTTTTATTCCTCTTGAGAACCAAAAGTATTCTCAGTTCACATGATGCTTTGGGCGTGTAACCTGCGTGCAAGAACTTTCAATGTTTGTGCCACATTTCAAGGCAGTGGCTTTATTTTTGCGGTCAGGAGAATGTTTCAACAGGCGGGCGGATACACAGGCGGACATGTTTAAATCGACTCAGAATATGATACTGATCAAGAATGTATATACTTTGTGTGGTCTTTGAAGCTTCCTTCTAAGTGTTACAAATGTTTTAACAAATGAATATACCACTCACCCTATGGTGTAGGGTATGAAAACGATAACAGTCTTTTGTTTAAAATAAATGATACCATTTATTAATAATAAGTGAAATGTATATTAATAATATTTTCAGTAGTGTCAAAATCGATCGGATCTTCTTATAGGTCTTATACTAATTAATTTCGTTCTTGCTATCTTTTGGATAAGGAACATCGAAGAGCAGCGAACGTTATCGTGCAACTTGAATTATTTATTTACTTATATACATCAACTGTCAATTTCAACTGACTCTTAGGGTGGTACCATATTGTTTTACAAAAAATGTGAACAAAAACATATGGTTTTAAAACCAAAAGAAATTAACGTAAGCATAAGCAACAAGTCTAAAAAAAACCGAACAAATTTTGTTAAATTTCGTAATCTGCTTAGATTTTATGGATTAACTGATCCATAATTTGGAAATTTTCTCTTATGACTCTGTAATGGAGCAACTTCAACTTTAAAATAAATAGTCTTTCTTGCTTGTAAATCAAAATTGCAAATAACATTATATAATGATATTCACATTTGCGTAAGATAAATATAAATTAGATAAATAACCTCAAAATTTAAAAGAAACGATCACCACTTCGACTTATGTTTTTTCTTCTCTTTGTTTTCTTTGTATGCATACATGCAAAATCATATGATTTATCAATCCCTATAACGATTGGAAAAAAGTCGGCAAAGTAGGAGTTCCAGCTCGACAACAGGAATTGTTGGCTAACTAGATCAAAAGCTTTACTACATGATATCCGTGCTAGAGCTACTGGAGAAAGTCTTAAAAACAATGACAAGTGAACTCTAAACGGTTCGTAACGGTTGCTTTTTTTTACAAATATATACTAAATACAAGATTTCATAGCGAAAGCTATTTATTGAGGGATAGTTCGTGCAAAGAATTTGGATAAAACACTCAACTTGACAATATGTCTATACTTCTTGATAAGGTGTCTGTTTCCTCCATTCAGAAAAAGATTAAAATCTTTTGAGATAATACCATATAATTTATGAGAAAATAATTGGACTATACATGATGTAATGCCATCAGGCTCTGGCGTATATTAGTGAACTTAAACTTTGTAATACGTAATCTTCCGAAGTGATCAAATTAGAAAACGAAATTGAGTTTTGATTTTGCAATGGGTATGGGAAAATTAAATCGGCATAGCTATTTAAAAAAGAGATTTGATGTTTCAGTATCACCAGAGGAGTCGGATCTACTAAAAGAGTTCGAGGAAGTATGTGTGAAAATTCTTTGTCTGGAGATAACAAATTTTTAAAAATACTTACAACTCATACGAAGGGAGAAGTAATAACTTTGCCGGTTGGGATAGTTAAATCTATGCCTTGCAGTAGAGTAGATAACATAGCCATACGCAGAACCACTTGTCATATATTTTTTGAAAAGTTTGTTTTTTCTACTTTTGCAGTATTTAACTGGCGGGCAAACACCTTGAAGGGAAGGTTGTGTAACTGGAACGGACGCGGAAATAGCTAAATTTAATACTTTATAAAAGGAGGAAATTAAGGTTACTATATTGCTAGCAAAAAAATGAAGCGTACTGTGTGCAAGATAAGCTTTAAGCAGTAATCTGTTGGAGTGGTTCAACGGGCCATCCTGGTAACGCTGAAAGGTTCAAGAAATTTCCGCGATGATACGAATTCTAAGGTAAGCTAATAATTGAACGGCAATTTTCAACAATTTTAAGGGAATTAGCAAAACAAAGATATACAAGTTTGCCAATATGATTAATACTATGATTGAAATAGGCTTCGATCAAATATTTCATTGAAAAGCAAAAGAACTCTACCAGAAGTTGAAGGGGGGCCATACAGCGTGAATTAACACTGCGACACTAAATGACTTGCGGTTAATTAAATTCCGGCATCGCTATGACCATACCAATGGGCTTTTGACGTTTCAGACAAATCACAAATAAGGGAAGCATGTTTCCTTTTAGTACAAGCACAAATAGATACGTTTGGAGGAATATAGGTACATGTTAAATATAAATATTTGTTACCAATATTCATACGAACGGCAATAAATTCAGCGTCACGAGAATTTGGAAAATCAAAGGAGTAGACCAGAAGGCAACTGAACCAACAATTAAAAAACCATTACCAGTATCTTTCCTGAAAATATTGGGATGTTAATTAAGAAACGCATACAAAAGCCACAGAAGCAAAGTCGTTACTTCTCAAACCAATATTAGAATCATTGAGGTAGAAAGACAGAATAGCTGGAATAGTTACCAGTTGTAGTTAGTTTTAGTTAGCGATACATCATATATATTATGTGTTATAATTACGATATAAATATTCATTTGTGTACAGCAGTGTTTAAAAAATTAACTTGCGTTGAATACGGATAACATATAAAAAGAATTTTAAGAAATTTTCTTCACATGATCTTTTTTAACCTTTCAAATTGTTGTGATTCTTGTGCGCTTTATATGGTTGTGGGTATAGCAATGACGGCAGCTATTAACGGTTTTGCTTGCTGCGCTTTGATTAGCATAATTCGTATATGTGAATTGTCTGGTGTTAAGCTGTGCGGTGGTAATTTATCATTCGGATTTATTACAGCAACAACCTCAAAATCAATTTTCAAAGGTATACCTGGTAAAATGCAGGGTAACTGAAATAAAGAAATCTAATTTACTATCAATGTTGTCTTTACCAATACATTATATGATGCATTATACGATACCTTTGCTAGCGATTTTACTGTTGTATAATGACGACGATCGGAATGAATGAGTACAGTTAAATTCGACGCCATTTTATAAGTGGATAGGTTTTGTATAGTTAAGTATACCCTAAATATAGAACCTGCTCCGCATACTTCTGCTGACAATTTGACTGGTGCATGAGTGATATCATTGGATGTTGTTTGCTCTGAGGAATTTAAAGCACCAACTGTGGCTCGTGCAGCTGTGTGTCGAAGACGCCACAACTCCACTTGAAAGCTACCGTAAGTAATTTTGGCATTTTTCTTCTCACGAGCTATTTGCTCTACAAATATTGAACTTTTTTTGGGTTTTTCTAAAATCGTAGCATCAACCATATCATCGTCAATTCCCAGTATGTTGCGAGTAGATAAATTTTGAAGAGGCTCAAAAGTCGCGGTACGCTTTAATATTTTCACTATTAAGTCACCTTCAATGGTTGTTAAGCAGAGTACATACTCTTCCCAGCCCATACGACCGAATAACATTGAACTAACAGTACCATTAGTTTGAAATTCATCTACTAAATATTTTTGCATATAAAATTGTACTAAACCACCTTCTAGGGCCACACATATTAAAGTTAAACCCAAGTGTTGTAAATTAATTGAGTTTAGGCAAATTGGCTGTTTGCCTAAAGGTATCAAATACAGTTGTTTACCTTTTTTGGAATAGCACAGTAAACGTTTATTCATAGCGGCGGCCACTATTGTTTGGTCGATGGGTAAAAGTACTAAACCTGTCATCGGTTGAGATAGTTTGAATATTTCCTGAGCTTCCGGGCAAGCTTTGCGCAGTAAATACACCGAACCATAGCGTGTAGCGATTATAACACAAAAATCAGTCTCAAATGTTCCATGAACCGCTAATACACTAGGTGGTGTATCCGGACAAACTGTGGCTTTGTAAAGTATACCAAAACTTTGAGGTTCTATGATTAAAACTTCTCCATTGTCTGTGGCGACTACTAAATGTGAAGGAGGTTGGCTATGGCCTGTCGAAACGCGGGCTAAACATTTTAAAGCGATCACGTTCGCAAAACGATTAAAAGGTCCTTCTGCATGATCGCGTATGAAATTCTGCAGTTTTTTATAAGGATGTTTTTTTTTTGGCAAAACATCTTTTAATAAATAAAAGAAACATTTTTTAAAATTGTTCAATTTACTTACATATCTCTCTTCGGGTAAAAGTTGTAATAAACGTTGAGATTTCCTACACAACTTAGGACGTTCATAAGCCTTTAAAGCTTCCACAAAATTTTCTTGATCTTCTTGTCGCACTATACTCAATCGACGCCATATTTCACGTTCGGCATCTAAAATTTCCAGTTCGGGTAACGTGTATTTAAAGTATGGTTTCATGTGTCGATAAAATAATATCGATTCCGCTATAGCAACTGCTAGAACTGATTTGTAAGGAATAGCTTTTATGTACATAACTTGAAATGATCTAATTTCAATTCTTACTGGGTGTTTTTGATTCGGTTTCATCGATATACAAGCTTTCAATAGCTGCCGGTATTCCTCCCAATTCATGCTCTGATTCTAAATCTAGGCCACGGAATACTTTTAGTTTACCAGAATATTGTTCCTTATCATCCACCGTTATATCGACAGCTATTAAACGAACATAATTATCGCTCTTTATATTACTTAAACTTACACAAGATGGTAAAGTGTTTAATTTAGGCTGTTCCTCATTGGCGATGACTTGTAACCAATTGCTAGATGAAGGCATACTTTTAGCTTTCTTTGTTTGTTAAAAAAAGCCAAACGTATACAAAATAATTACATTTTTTTTTTAATATTATGTAAAGACGGGTTTTGTTTTTGTTTGCGTTAGCAACCAATTTGTTTGCGTTAAAAAATTAGCAATATTGTTAGGGTAATGAATAGTGGAGGAGAATTTCTTTTTTTCATATTAATAATTATTTTGAAATCAACTGACTTTGTGACTACCGTCGAGGATAAGTTAAAGCTTCTTAACTACTTTGCTGTTCAAGTGATATGAATAAAATTGTTGTAAAACTAAAGTATAATGAGTGTTTTTAATAAACCTTATCATATAAAAAGGAGCAATAACTCTGACATTAATGATATATAGTTTTGAAGGCAATTTTCGTTTCATTGCCAACACCAATGGCATTAGAAACTAAAAAAAAAAAAAAAAAACAAAGGAAAAGGAAAAGGAAATTAAAGATAATATAAAGACGATATTAATCGTGGTGGAAACATGGCCACCCATCACTATGTAAAAACCTTCCGATTTTGTTTCGTCTTTGGTTTTTTTCATGCTAATTTGGATGTATCGCGTTTGAGGATAGAGTGAGAGCATTTTTGCTTAGACTTCTGACGTGACTGTAATAGGAAGTTATGATGATATTTAGTACGGTACGGTTTATATATGGTCGACAAACGTATTTTTAAATATTTCCTTTTATTTCCGTTTGCGTGCGGTTGTTTATTCTTTATCAATAGTCTTGTTCTTATTTGATCTAATTTGAGCTGATGTTAGGCTTACAGATTTTAAGTACTACGAATTGCTTTTCCTACATTATGGCTCTTATAACCGATAAAATCGTAAATCGATGAACGTAACACTATTATGCTGATCAAAAGTATATGCAATTTTTCATTGCACATTTGTGCTCGTTTCAAATGGCTTAATAAAATTAATTTACTTAATATACTACGACATTAAGTGTAAAAATTAAACTACCGATTTAATGTGCGCAATGAAAGAGAAAATGTCATCATTATAAATCTATGCCATGCTCGTGGTAAAACTACAAATTTTACTCATTATTACCGTTTAAGAATAATTTGGGTTTTCCTCAAATCGCTCGTACGGGTAGGTGAAGATGCAATCTCGTTCGTTTCCTGCTTAAGCGAGGATAGGAAAGAACCGGTTTTTATACTAAAAGAAGAAAAATTTCGTAGATAATCAAAAGAGTAAATGATCATTAACAATACAATTGCTATCGTCATTGACATTCAAAACGACCGTAATTTCCGAGTTTTAGTCAATGGAAGAAAAATAAATAAATAAAGCAAAAAACTAAATAAATAAACCGCAAGACAAATACCACAATCAGTGAGTCATTTACATAAGCGATGTTTGGTTATGGTTTAAGGCCATTGGTGACTACAGCCAATATGTAGTAGAGAGTGAGCAACTGATCCTCTAACATATTTTTTGAATTTAAAATCTAAAAAATAAAAACAATAAAACCTATAAACCTTTTTACATTTTTATAGCGGATAATGGTACTAAAGCAAAGGAATCGATTTCACCGCATTCTTCCGTTCCTTCGGGCGGTTCACTGCCTGTTTTTTTTTTTTTTCTAAATGAAATATTGGCTTTCAATCTTAAAATTGTCATGAAATTCTTTCTTTTTACTGTTGATTAATATTGAGTAAACTTGATAGATAAATTTGCCAACAATTAGCATATGTCTGTCCTTTAGTTTATCGAAAAGCCTTGCTCTTATTGGATTTTCAAATATATGTGATGTGTTAAACATGCCTTAGAACTGTTCATAGATCTATATATACATATAGGACAGCCATAAAATATGAAGTAAATAATTTCTTATGTTCGCATTTTGTTGTCCAATGTTGTATACGATTTTGTGTTTTTACTTCGGAAGCAGTCAAGAATATTTCGTATGCTAAATGGAGATTGAAGGTTCTCAAAATTTTTGAAAAGTTTTAGCAGATGTATATATCAACACTTTCATATTGATATGTGCTACAGGTTACGGACTGTTGATAAAAGTATTTAGAAGTATTCAGTCAAGAATTTACATATTGTATAGGGTTTTTGAAGCTTGTTTCTACGCGTTGTATACGTATTAAAAAAAAAAAATTAAGTTTGATACACCATAATTTTGGATGCTACATCGTCAACCATAGAATATGCTTTCAAATTTATGTACATTTATCGGCTAGAGTTTATGAGTAATGAGCAGAAACACGATTTTTTAAACAGAAGTGTTCTCACTTTAGGTTACTATAAGCGTGTCCCTCGATTGATTTGCCCCATTTTCAGTACTAACCTGCGTGCAAGAACGTCATGGTATACAAACGCACAGACGGACATGCTCGAAGCAATTTAGAATTTGATGCTAATCATGAATAAAGGATGTAGGATTCCTGAAGCTTCCTTCTGGATGTTGTCAACGTTTCGATAAAATGAATATTTTCCTCATCCTTCAGTGATGGGTAGAAAAATATTAGAATATCTTCGTCAATAATCCTTGATCGGTGGCATTTTCTAGAGCTAATTAAAAGCTTGTAAGAAAAATTCTTTCAGTCAGTTTTATAGCTAATAAGAAAAAATTTAAGCTAGCGGATATCTAAAATTCGCCATAAAATGAAAGAAGCTTTTTGGTCGGTTTATTTTCCTTATATTATTTTCTTTTCCTTTTTTAATATTTGGAAAATAGATTCAAATTGCGATCACCTTGCAAGTTAGTACGGAAATACCGAAAGTTGTAAAATAATTTCAATAATTGTACATGCTTGCCGTCAATGCGGCACATGTTCGATTTTATAGGCAGATCAATTTCGATGAAGCGCTGTTAACCTCCTTTTTGGTAAAGTTTGTGTGATTTTGCTGTTTGGTTTTGTTTTTTATAAAAATGTTTGCTTTGTAATCGTAAGCTTTTACTAGTAGTCTGTGATGAAATGCAATTTTGTTTTTTTATACACATCACCGAGGGATGGGAGGTGTATTCATTTTGTCAGAACGTTTACAACACCCAGAAAGAAACATCGAAGGCCCCACAGGGTGTATATATTCTTGATAAACATCAAATTCTAAATCGATTTCAGCATGTCCGTCTACCCGTCTGTCCGTCCGTATAATCTGCTGGCCGCAAAAATAAAGCTTTTAACTTCAAACGTTGCAGAAACATTGAAAGTTCTTGCACGCAGGTTAATATTGAAAATGGACCGAACACGTCGATGGCCACGTCCACAGTAGCATGTACACTGAGAACGCCTCTATTTTTCAAAAGGAATAAAAAAATTGGTTTTTTATTCATTACTCATAACAAGTACAAAACTGTAGTTTTTTTTTTTTTAATAACAATATAACGCGCAGAAACAAGCCTCAAAAAGCCTATAAATTATGTAAACCTTTGGCCAGTTTCAAATTTGGAGTGCACCTTTGTATGTCAACCTGTTTGCCTATCCATTTGTGTGTAAGCCCAATTGCATATTATTTGTGGTAAACATTATCCCTTTACCGAAAACCGAGATATCGCCAACAACTTTGCAAAAAAAATTCAGGAGGGAGTTAAATTTTTCATAGGATACGCCTACAACGCCCACACGCCTATTCGACAAAAACTTTTATTTTGAAAATAGAAAAATCATCCGCGGCCCCTCCATATTGTCGAGCATGAAAAATTTGGTTCTTTTAGTTTTTCTATTTTAGGATAACGATACTGGGTATAGAAGATTCGGTTACGACCGGACATAACTTTGTTACTTGTTTTTTTCTCTTTGTTAAATTTTAAAATCTTAGCAATTTACGCGTGCCGTGCATTTGTAATTACATGATAGAAACCGATAGTGATGTCGACGATGATATTAACAATAATCATCTATAGTGAATGGCTTTCACTTGACCGAATTTGCAAATTGCTTTAGCTAGTTTTAGGACTTAAGTCGACTTAATAGACAATTGATATGATTTTTATTTATTTTTAATTTTGTTTGAATGAAAGTCCCCTGACACGAGTGAATACATACGTATATTTCTCCCTCTCTCTCTCTCTCTCTCTCTCTCTCTCTCTCTTTCTCTCTCTCTTTCTCCTATAGGAACTACAAAAAAGGTAACAAAAGGTAAGAAAATTATATTCAGTCGTGACCGAATTTTTTATACCCATCACCGTTATCCTAAAACGGACAAAAAAGTAAAAGAAGTAAATCTTCATGTTCTATAATATGGAATGAGCGCGCTTGGTGTTTTCTATTTTCAAAATAATACTTTATGTGATGTTAGTATATGGGCCTTATAGGTCTACGGAAAGTTTATGTCACTGTAGGCGATATATTCATTTTTTCTAAGCGAGGAACAGTTACCATAAATATTACTCAGTTGCGCAGACAGGCAAATGGACAGACGGACATGTTTAGGTGCATTCCAAACTTGAAACTGGCTACGAATTTATATACTTTGTAGGGGTGTTTGAACATTGTTTCCGCGCCTTATAAGTTTAATGAGTAGGCGTGGCCAATTTTTTCTATTTTTGTACAAATACTGCAGCGTCGCCCATACAAAAGGGGTTTCAAATTTTTGTATATTTACCTGTTATAGTTTACAGGTAAAGAGCGAAACACCACTTTTTATTTTCAAAAACAGAGACGCTACCATTCAACAGATTTGGCCCATTTTCAATACCAAATTGCGTGTAAGACCCAATGTTTCTGCCACATTTGAAGTCGATAGCTTCATTTTTGCGGTCAGGAGAATGTTTACAACCGTCATTACACAGACGGACAAACGGACATGCTTAAATCAATTTAAAATTTGATGCTGATAAAGACTATATGTACTTTGTGGTGTCTGTGATGGTTCATTCTGGGAGTTTCAAACGTTTTTACAAAATGAATATAATACCACTTATCCTTCGGTGTTGGGTACAGAAAAAGCAAATATAAAAGTTGTTCGACCAGACAACTTAAAAAGAAAGAGAACGTGGGCGAAGCGAAATAATAAACCAAGCAAAAATGC